CTCACGAGTTTGGTATAATTTAGGCTAGAGGGGCGACAGGCTAAAATCGTTTGATATGTCATTGTGACTAAATTGAACGTCAATTGATAATACAGATAATGTAATCAGAATGCATTATTTCGCATTGTTTGTTCCTTTCCCGGGCCGCTATTGTATAATTTGTAATTCACATCTAAATATTGCAAATGCTTTTTGACTGTACCTGTCTGTTAAATTTGTCATGTTCGACCGAACCACAAGGGGTGAAAAGCATTATAGCTTATTCGTTCCCGTGGTTAGTACGTCAACGTTTCACTAATTAAGAGTCCGGCTTTTACCGCAACGGCTGTTGTGCAACGAAGTTTTATTAAACGAATCACAGCGTTCAACAAATATATCCTCGGGTTACAAGTACTCACCCGTGTAACATACGCCATTTCCAATCGCAAGCAAAGGTTCGCCCGAATAAGGTGATTCTCTTTATGCATTAGCATTAAAAAGGCCTTGCCATGTTTGGGACACAAATATAAATCATAATATCTAAGCAAGTCAACATGATATTCCGCAGGATGCAGGATGCAACATATATAAACCGAGCGCATCAGCGGTTTTGTTTCTTAAAAAATTGGCCTGTGGGGTCTATCATTTGCATAGAAGAGATTAATCATTCCTTTGAACGTCTCTTAAAGTCTCTTATTGATTAAGAAGACTTTTGTGCACGACCAAATAAATAATAAAAAAACATATCATACAATCCTTCATTACGAATAAACCGCTTTCCAAAAATAATACACGTCATTTTTTTAAAATCACCCTATTACTATATACTCTCTTTCAAAAATGATTAGATCAGCCATTCTTTTATGTTCGCTTGTCATTTTCGGACTAGTCAGTAGCATTCAGGCAGCTCCAATGCTACACAAAAGATTCGTCGGCCAGGGCACGTTTTATTCAGTCGGTCTTGGCGCTTGTGGAAATACTAATAACGACAATGAACTTGTTGCCGCATTGGTAAGTAATGAATTGATTCAACTATCAAACGCCGTTCTTAACAAGTGTTTATCTGGCAAACATTTCTCACCATTATTTTTTCTTTATTTTAAAAATCACAGAATGCACCTCAATTTGGCACTCCGGCAAACCCCAACAATTCCCCCTTTTGTGGTCGTAAAGTATTAATTAATGGACCTAATGGCTCTGTCACTTGTACCATAGTCGATAGATGTGAAGCCTGCAAGGATGGCGATCTCGACTTGAGTCCAACTGCATTTGCAAAGATATCTCCCTTGTCTGCTGGCCGCGTTGCAATCAACTGGGATTTCATTGATGGAGGAAATAATAACAACAATAACAACGCTCCAGCGCCACCTGCGCCACCTGCGCCTGCTCCCCCTACTCCCCCTGCTCCCACTCCCACACCACCACCGAACCCAAAGCCAAAGAAGGCGCCTAGACGTAAACACCGACACCATCGCCATCGCCATCATCACTAGACGTAATAATAATAAATTCAAGCCGTAGTGTTTGGATCGCTCCAAGGATAGGAAAATTTCTGGTGGTAGCATTTCCGCTTACCGGTACGGAAAATCATATGAAGGGGTGCTCGTCGACCCTAATATTTGCAAACTTTTACTTAACCTCCACAAATTGTACATATTTTTAACGATCAAAAAAAATTTCAAGAAATCACAAGGAAGCTCCTTTCTTTGTTCGTTGTAATCATTGTATTTTACCTATCCTTTTTTAATTATTGTATTTATATCATTTAATATCAAATTATTTGAGATAATTGTATTATTGTTACGGGTGTAAAGGCTTTGGGTAATCATTCTATACTCTCGTTATTCATTTAGCAATCGGGAGAGAATTTAAAAATAAATCACAACCTGCGCTTGATGTGTCAGGATACAAACAAACGCATTTGGTAACGAATCTACACGTGAATAGTAAAACGTAAACGCCTTAATATATTCCACAACATTGACATTCGAAGCCCCCCTTTTCACGATCATTAAATTAAAAATTAAAAATCGGGTAATACACAAGAAAACCAACAGATTAGATGGAACACTGTAAGTAAGCGCAAAACAAAACATTTCCTTTAGCAAGGAATTTTAGCTAAATCAGGTCTGCTATAGTATCAATATCGTATTACTCAACGAATTAATTTGCTGCGAGCTATCATTTTGATATAGAATATAGTCAAAAGTTGGGAACACCAGGATTACTCTTATTTGAAGAATGTGGACATAGAATAAGTACTTCATCCGCAAGCTAAACAACACATGATGTATTTCTATCCAACCCATTACAGCATGCGAGTACAATATAAGTATTTAGAATAGGCTTGGCAATAACGAATGTGTGCCACTATGCGTTTTCTGTCAGACAGCAACATCTCTATGAGATAATTTAACACAAGGAATGGCATAATCTTGAGACAGGAGCATGCCGTCTGTCATAGGCAATTACTTTCAATTGTCCAATTTAATGTAACCATCGTATAAACCTTTAAATCTTTAAACCCGTCTATGATTGTTTATTCGTTATCTTGTCTTTTTAGTGTCAAGTAACCCAAGAGCATTTATTGGTGATGAAATCGGGAGGTCGAAAATCGATTAGTCACGTTTTATCAAGGAACAAATTAAATTTAATACACTAAATTGAAGGACACCAAGAACCGGTACTAGTAATTAAATTATATCCGAGATAATATTTGGAATTGAACACTATCGCTAAAAATGTAAGCAAAAGACTCGGATAGATATTCCGGTTTGTTAGGATAAACGGCAAGATCAAATAATTTGTTATCTTGTCAGATGCTGATTATTTAGTTTCCAGACATCTCTAATGTGTTATTGGCTGATCGTCAACAATATAGCAAATAGACATTCTCTACAAGACCGAGTATAGATGTCTTAATTAGAATATTTTCATGTGTTTCCTAGTAAATCTTCCCATGCTGTACAAAGTTTGATTAGTTGGCTTCGCGAAGAGTAACCGAGAACAGTCATCCTCAGCATTTCGGCTATCAGATAATAAAGCACGCTAACACTGGTTACTCAAATTCCCAAGTTAAAAAAAAATGCCCGAATTACTTGATATCTTGATGTAAAAAACAGTTCATAATGCATCCGGTTATTGTGGTTACTGGTGCTTCTCGTGTAAGCTTGCGCATTTCAAATTTCCGACTTTCACACTCTCTTTCGTTTCTCTCATTTCCACCTACTCCTTTTCAGGGTATAGGCCGTGCCGTAGCCGAAATCTGTCTCAAGACTTTCAATGCAAACGTGCTCGCGATTGCACGAACTGAGAGTGCGCTGAACACTCTCAAGGCATACGCCGAAAAGGAACTAAACACTAACGAAAGAGTAGAAACTGTTGTTGGAGACGTTACAGAGGAGAGAGTCATTGATGATGCAGTCGACAAGTGTTTGAAACGTTGGGGAAGAATCGATGGACTTGTTATTAATGCTGGGTGAGGACGGCTGATTGATTTTAGCCGAGAGATCTATCCCGCAGTACCTTGATTCTATAGACATTCTCGTCTTATCTAGTGTTCTCGAACCCATGGCAACAATTGCAGATGTAAATGTTGGCGAATGGCGCCGGTAAGTTTCTGTGTGCTTCCCCATACATACATACATACATACATACATACATACATACATGCATACATACATACATACATATATGTATATGTATGTGTACGGTATGCAGTGATGTATAATGCATGTACAGTATGTATGTTACTTTCACATATTTTAACTGATTCCGATCACATTCCCGTCCGGCCTCTTTCAACAGCCTTCTTGACGTAAATCTATTGTCTGCAGTAACTTTACTCAAAAAGACTATCCCACATCTACGATCCACGAAAGGACGCGTGATAGCGGTATCTTCTGGTGCTTCTATGAAGGCTATACATAGCTGGAGTGCTTATTGCGTGTAATTAATTATTTTTTCACAAGACGCGATCTCCAACAGTTTATGAGGCGTTTTATTAATTACGAGTGGTTACGGTGGTGGTTACGTGTCCCGCAGTGTATTGATTGTAGATTCGGACACCTTTTTGTTGTCGTTATAGGTCCAAATCCGCTCTTAATATGTTAATACGATGCTTGGCACTCGAAGAACCAGATATTGTGGCCGTCGCCATTCGGCCAGGCGTTGTTGATACTGACATGCAATTTCTTGTTCGAACAGGAGGTAAGAAATATGACTGATTTTTGAAAAATTGAAACGTTCACTTTGTCTTTCACATATATACTGCGAGCATAACGTACTCATTAAAACCTTTTGTGCAATGTACTCCACTCGAATCCCATTCAGGATCCAAAGTAATGGATGAGCAGGATCATAGCAAATTCGTCGGTCTTCATACATCTAATCAACTTTTATCGCCCGAGGAACCTGCACATGTTATCGCTGCATTGGTTGTCGGTGGCGCTAAAAAGGAGTATAGTGGAGGATATTATACTTGGAATATTGAGGAGTTTGCGGAATTTATGAGGAAGAAGTGAGTAAGCATAAAGAAATGGAAAGCATCAAGTGTAACCAAGAGTTTATTACATTGGCAAACTTGTCCGTCAAATCGTCATATAAATTGGTTTTGATAATCTTGTATATGTATACGTGAAAGTTGCAAAGAAATATTATGACCTGGATCGTGCATTATCCCAGCAGCTTAAAGAGTTTATAATTACGGGTGACGGTCTTGTCTTATAACACACGAATACATAAATTTTATGTGGACACCAACACTTGGATCACGTCATCTTTTACTCTGCCGACTTATGGGAAGACATGTAGTGTAGTTGGGACAAGCTTGAATAATGACGCGACATTCGAACCAGACTATTGGGGTGAAGGTTTAGATTCTCTTAAAAACAAAAACATGAAACATGTTTGCTGCAGATATTTATTTCATCGCTATACCGTAAATACATTTAGCTTATAGATACATCTGCAAATTAATTCTTCAGTTTGTTGTTGTTACTTATCATATTAAACACTATTACATTACTATGAGATTAGAATTAAGTGAGTTACATTATAATTGTTCCAAACCGGCGTGTCAAGTAGCAAACTCATCCTTTATCTCTAACTAGCTTCGGGGAAAAGCGGCCCCGCCAAGGGAGAAAGGGGGGAAGAAAGAAGGAAATGTCGGAGGCATCCTCGTGACCCATTCATCAGACCCGTGCGAGAATCCCTTCACCGCAGGCGAGCACTGTGGAGAGTGGTGAGTAGAGAGGCCCGATTTCAGCGCCCGTAGAGACGAAGAGAGCAGCCACCTAATGAACCGATTAAAGTGCAATAGCCAGGTGGTACGATTATTATCTACCCCTCTAATGTGAGGGAACGGAATGTTCGTACTCTTTTGAGTGTCAAGAAATCGTTGGTATGTGCATAATATAAAGTGGCATAAAGACTTGTTGACATTGTATTTGCGTTTGGATGCGGAGAGGTTGCTGTAAAACGATACTCGTTCAATGGTTTGAGTATATATGAGTAGACGTGTGTTTGAACTTTTCCATTGCTCATGTGGTCGATGACTGTGTCGTTGTTAGACGACTTGTTCGTAAGCCGTATTTGCATAATACGAATCGACGTAACGGATCGTTGTTGTATTTGCGCTTTGGAGATGTTGTAAAGCGATGCATATATGTATACGTATGAGTAGACGTGCGTTTGACGTCTTTCATCAGTTAGAGGTCTATAAATCGTGTCGTTGTTAGACAGCTTGTTCGTGAGTTGTAGTAAACTGCCATGTTCGTTTATTTGCGCTTTGGTGGAGATGTTGTGAAACGATGCATATACGCAATAGAGAGAAGCGTCCGGGTGTATATATGTGTGTTTGAAATCTTTCATCAGTCAGTGGGTCTATGGACCATGTCTTTGTTAGAGGGCTTGTTTGTAAGTTCGCGTCAAAATGTCACATGTGCGTAACATAAAGGACCGTTTGTTGTATTTACGCTTTGGAGATGTTGTGAAGCGACGCGTATGTGCAATAAAAAAAAAGCCGTCGAGGGGGATCAATTGTATATATGTAAGTAGACGTGTGTGTTTGAACTCTTTTATCAGTTAGTGATCGATAACCGTGTCTTGTTAGAGAACTTGTTCGTGAGCTGTAGCAAACTGTCGCGTAACGGGCAAAGGTTCGTTAAATTGTATGTTTAATTTTAAGTGGCATTGTGTTCGAAGGGGAGAAGAGGCTTTTGGCAATGGAGAGAAGCATTTGGGTATATAACCTTGGGTATACACAGTGAACCTGGATATAACGAAACCTGGATATAACGAATTTCGACTACAACGAAGTTTTTTTCGATGTCCCAAAACCTTGTCTAATAGAATTTCCTGGATATAACGAAGTTAATTAAGAAAACCTGGTTACTGGTTATAACGAAGTTTTAAATCAGTTGGCTAATAAGAATACAACGAAGTTTTCTTATAACGAACTTCATTATATTATAACAAAGTTCACTATATTATAATAAACTTTGTTATATTATAATGAAGTTCGTTATATTATAATGAAGTTCGTTATATTATATTAAACTTTGTTATAATTCGGCAATCTTTCCCATTAATGTAAATATGTATGCATGATGACATACTAATACAGTAATTCACTTCATATTTAAAAGTTTACCGTAAATCCTAGTCTGTTTCTCATCATAATGACTAGAGACGAAGTGACAAAACCCACTAAGAACAAACGCCATGCGCTTCGCGGCATTGAAAAAAAAGAAATCTGTCAAATAAAAAAAGATAATCCCTCAATTAAAATGGCCGAATTAGCCGAACAGTTTGAATGTGCCATATTCATATCAACAATCAGTGAAATTCTGTCAAATAGTGACTACTGACTCAATATTGATGAAAGTCCACCACTGGTACATTTAAAAGAAGACGCCAAAGCGATTTTCCCAATATAGAGGAAGCATTGAGTCTTTGGGTAGAAAATGCAGTAAGTGACAAAATGACCTTAACGGATTCGATTTTGAGGGAAAAGGCTAGAAAATTTGCTGTTTTGTTTGATAATTGCAACTAATGGGTGGTTGGAAGGATTCAAAAAGAGAACCAATCTAAAATCTTACAAAAAGCGAGGGGAAGCTGGGAGCCGTCGATTTGGCCAAATTGCCCGAGCAACGTGCATATTTGAAATCGATTCTAGAAGGTTATGATGAGTGTGACATTTTTAATTGCGATGAAACGGCTCTATTTTGGAAAATGGAACCACGAACAACACTTGCTCGCGCGCCAGTTTCGAGAAAAAAATTGTTGAAGGATCGCGTATCTATACTCGCAACTTGTAACGCAACTGGGGAAGAAAAATTACCTTTACTGTTAATAAATAATCCTCGATCGTTGCGCGAAATTGATAAAACTACTCTCGGTATATGGTATTATTATAATAAATCCGCCCGGATGCAACGCTCTATATTTGAAAGTTACCTTAGAAAGGTTAACAATATGTTTCGCTTAAAAAACCGCAAAATTATTCTGCTAGCCGATAACGTCTCTAGTCACAAAGTCAATGGTCTTGAACTATCCAATATCAAACTTCATTTTTTACCCCCAAATACGTCAACCCAACTTCAACCCCTCGACCAAGGAATTATTTATAGTCTCAAGGTTTGTGAAAAGTCAGTTTTATTTTATTTTTTTACTTAATTCACCTATTATTATATAAGCACATTATCGGCGACTCTTATGTTCACATCTCATCCATCTTTATGACGAACGATTAACTTATTCAACGGTTATTCCAAAAATTACCATCCTTGATGCGATTAACTTCGTGGTTAAAGCATGGGATTGCGTAAAAACGCAAACGGTTATATCATCCTGGACTCACGCAGATATTTTCCCATCCTCTATTCCTGTGACGTACGCTACAGAAGAAATTGAAGAGGTTAAAAGAGAAATAGGAGATCTCATTCAGCGTTTGCCAATGGATGAACCAGACAAGAATTGTTTCAGCTGAAGAAGCTGAGCGAGCTTTAGCGGCCTCAGCCTCAGCTTTAGTGGCCAATGGGCATAGAAGAGTACATAGATATCGACAAAAATGCAGAAATTTATTCCTCTACTGATGAAAACAGTTTATTCCAAGAGATTGTAGATACAGTTAATCATATTGAAAGAGGATGAACCTTCCGAAGAACGAATTGTAACAAGCTCTGAAGTGTTGTTGGGGTGTGATAACATGCTTGCATATATTGCGCAAAAGAATTTGAATGTTGACTATTCCGTTATAAACACAC